TAATTAGTTTCTATCACGTGCAGTTGTTCATCTAATAATGAGATGAACGAGTAGCTGCCGCTCGCGATTTCCATCGCGAATAATCACGTGGAAGCCGTGGTGATGCTGACGTGCAATTCTCGTGAAATCGATATTATCGCGCGACATCCGCACTTTCGATACAGCTATTTGATGTCGTCTATATTATTCAGGGAAAAATCACGCGCGAGTTGTCGCGACATTATTATATCAATTTCTTGCGATATCACATCAATAACATATGCATTGCGACACGCGTTGTTTACACGTACTATTATCACATGATTATCGCAGAAATTGCGTCAAAACGTGGCGATTTATATTGAGCTTACAGCAAACAATGCTTGACATTTCTGGATTGCACGATCAAGATTAAACATAGAAATTCATTTAAATTATCTTTGCAATTTCAATAATTTAGATATGTCATTCGCATTTTATATATTGCTTACTAGCAACTTACCTTACTCTTTACAGTTGTTTTTTTTTTTCTAATAAAATTTATCCGTAAATAATAATTGCACTTAAACGCGATGAAATAGCATGTAGAGCACTTGATGTATGTTTTATGCAGGAATTTGTGCGTCTCGTAATTCAAATTTTTAATTCTTATATTAAACTATTGAATCGTTTCGTTACGAAAATTCTAGCACAGAAAAAAATCAAGCTTTTTGTCGCATTATTCTCAGCTAGTATATATTTTTCTCCTGATTTAGAATATGTTATTAAATATCCGTCACGCGATTTCTTAAATTCATTCACTAATATCCTGTGTTGCGCGTTGCTTGAACATTGTCATTTTCGAAAAACATCTTGACAGATTGATTTGTCGTCGTAATTTCAGGCCACGCTACTCTCTCGATAATATTAAGATTAAATATTAAGATTAAAAATCAAAGTTATTCGATCGCAGTGTCTCAATGCGATTTACACTGTCCGTAAATCGGTCGCGACGCTTCACGTGACAAGGGCAAGTCCCGAAATTTCAAAATTTCTGCCGGATATATTCCGAGCACGCGATTACTTCCGGTTTATGTAGCCGAATAACGAACAGGATAATCCCGCGAGCAGCCGCCGATTCAGGATCTAGCCGAGCCGCGACTAAATTTGTCCGCGCAGTTTTCATTCAATCGTCGCCGACTGTCCCGGCGCTCATTAACAAATCGCGTTAATTATGGCCTCTCTTATCAGCTGACGCGGCGATTGGACGGCTTCGTAGATGCGGTGGGACGGGTTAAAATCCAAGAGGGACCAATCGGGGCCGACTGGTCGATCGGATATCGGGGCACCGCGAACGAGAAAATAACATGTTTGGCTCTGTCGGCAGGGCTTAGGAATCGAAATCGCCTCGGTTTTACTTTTTTTACCTTTCCCCTCCCCCGGTTTTTTTTTACTTTTTTGTGCTTGCACCGGCGGCCGGCCGACTGGCGCTGGCTATTTCGTGGGAGCGATCGTTTACGGGATAGCACCGAACAGTTCAGATTATCGCAAATCAAATTCACGAAGAGGACGATTTATCCGTCGATCTTGAATAAAAATGTTACGCGATGTTACATTTGTAATAACATCGATTTATATATTTATGAAGACAAGCAAAAAAAAAGATACTCGAAAAATTAAAGCATAACTATGACAATTAAAAAAATATGCATAGCTATATAATATAATAAAAAAAAATATAAAATATGTTACAAGACGTTCAAGCACAAATTGACAAATCAGATTGATTTTTGCAAATTTAAATTGCTGATTTAAGCCTTGAAGTAAGAAGTTCAATAGTAAAGTGGAATCCCAATTGTCTCACAATGCTGAATGAACGGATGTGCATTGGAAGCTTTTCAAGTATATAATTATGAATAACAGTGTATTGGGAATTTTTTTTCCCATGAAAAAGTGACACCGATTCAGTTGAAAAGCGAGTGACATATGATAGCATCTGAATGTATGTAGATACATGGACAGAGGTCAAACTTACATACTTTTTTAAAATGAAAAGCAGAAGGTAGCCTGAACATCTCAAATACGCAGCTGCACTTAATCTGGATTGTAGATCACGCATAGAATAAAAGTAAAAATGCATATAAATATTAACTTCTCAGATAGAATAAAATTCTCGAGTGAAACTTGCGATCTGAAGAGAAGAAGAAAATTACCCTCTGATTGAACATTTAGGATCAATTTCACAGGCATCGTTTAATTTTAGCTCATTATTTGTTCTTATCCTCCTTTTTATCGTAAAGACGGTATCGTAAAGACGAGGTCTAAAAAAGTTTTAAAAAAAAGTTAACTTCAATTAACTAACTCTAATCTTCTTAGATTCTTGGAATAATGCGAAAGGTGAATTTAATTCGATGATTATTGCTGCAAATTGTTGTAATTTTACTTTTGCATTGAAATAAAATTGTACAAACCTAATACAATTATAAAAGTAAGTAAAGATGATGTACTAATAATTCGATTGTAATTCAATTTACGCATCCAATTTTATTGAACTTTAAAACTTTAATGAAATTTCTTTTTTTATATTAGTTCACCTTTAAAGCGTTGACTTATGCTCTCTCCAGAATAATCGATTCAAATATATACAAAGTCACGTTCTCCTTCTTAGTTATCTGAATGGTGGCATCGCACTGTTCAAGTCATTAGTCTACCTAAGCTTATGTTAATTTTCTTCCCCTTTTAAACTTATCCCGTGTTTGTTCGATTCGAGCCGCACGATAAAATCACCTCGGAATACGCGACACACCTTTTAACATCAATGAGAGACTGAAAAATAGCCACGTGAATCCACAAGAAGAATTTAAGCGGTGCAATAAACATAAGAATACTAAGATTATTAAGATAAATTTATCCCGCTAGGGGAGGCGTGCTTCTCAAATAAACGCTCTCATCACCGAGGGGTTAAAAAGATCCACCCTTCGGAAGGCCGGCTGTCACGTGAGGAGTCGTCGTACAAACGAGTGTCGTGACAGCGTGAACGACAATCTTCCGAGTATAATGGCGACTGATCGAAGGATCAGAGATCTTTACCCCGAGGGCATCAACAGCCACCCTCGAGGGAGCCGTGGGCGAGAAAGGTGGAGGGGGGGGGGGCGACTTCGTGGACCGTCGCGATACCATCTGGACACAGCGGGATTAGGCGCGTAGGAAAGGCGTTATCGACGAGATCTTACGGATGGATCGAGACAGGCGGACCGGCGGGTTTCAGGAGAGAGAAAAAAAAAAAAAGATGCCCTTACATCAGATTAAGACGCGGATCTCGGGCGCGGATCTTCCGCGATCCCCCGCCGGAACGAATCGCGGCGGTGCCGTGCGATACCGGGCGGAGAAGCGGAGCACACTCCTTCGCCGGAACCCTCACACGCCCCCTCCGTTCCCCGGATCGATCCCGGACGATTTACGGCGGGGTTCGATTTTTGATCAACGATCAAGAGGACCACGCGCGCGCGAG